TGTGCAGCCATCTAGCCAGTTCTTTATCCACCAAGTGGCCCATCTATCAAATTGATGTCTCTCCAACTTAGAGACAAGGAGGTCATGTGGGACAGTGTCGAATGTTTTGCACAAGTCCAGGTAGATGATGTCAACTGCTCTGCCGCTGTCCGTCAGTCCTGTAGCCCCATCAAATGAAATAAGTCAATGTAATGAAATAAGTCAATATAATGAAATAAGTCAATATAATGAAATAAGTCAAGCTCTTCCAATTGGTGGAGTCATACTTTGATAAAGATCTAAATATATATTGTCTGCCCAGTGCAATGGAATTTCTTGATATCCAGTTTTCAGATTGTATGTGCTATGTAGGATTTTGTTTGAAGAAATATGAATGTGCAGAAGAGAGGAAGATAGCAAGAGGAAAACAAGACTGTTTTCCTCTGACAGTGGCCAAGCAACTTCATTTGCCAGCTCCTTCAGGACCCGTCGATGGATTTCATCAGGTCCCATGGACTTGTGCACGTTCAGGTTCTTAAGATGGTCTCGAACCTGATGCTCTCCTACAGTGGGCCTAAGGTCTTCATTCTTACAGTCCCTGTGTTTTCCTTCCAAGACTTGGATGGTGTGGTCTGAGCATTTGCTAGTGAAGAGTGAGGCAAAGAAGTCATTAAGAACCTCAGCCTTCTCCAAATCCAGGGTAGCCAGCTCTCCCAGTCGCTTCCAGAGAGGGCCTGCATTGTCTCTAGTCTGTCTTTTATTTGCTACGTACCTATAGAAGCCTTTCCTGTTATCTTTCATGTCCCTTGCCAGATTTAATTCCTTGTACATGCTCTGTTCCACTGGAGCAGTGGGATTTACCTTCAAAGGGAAGGGTTATGGAGGTTTGGGTGCAAAATCAGCCACAGTAACTCGAAGCAGGTTGCTTTGCTATTGCACAACAATAAAATTCAAAAGCCTGTTTGGCGGGCGATTCTTAATTCTGTGGTACATAGTAAAGTTCCTTTCTTTACCCCTCACTCCCACCACCCCACTCCCCCCGAAAAAGAATTTCTCAGTGCTCAATAGCTATTTGTTATTATTCATGGCAATTCCACTGTTAGGAAATATTTTGTGCCTCCTCTGTGTTTACCTAATGATGTATAATTCTTACTACACTGAATCATAGAATCAACTAGATTGGAAAAGACCTTTAAGATGATCAAGTCCAACCATTACCCCAGCACTGCCCTGGGCAGCCTGTTCCAATACCTAACCACCCTCTCAATGAAAAAATTGTTCCTAATACCCGGTCTAAACCTCCCCTGGCACAGTTTGAGGCTGTTACCATTTGTCCTGTTGCTTGTTACTTGGGAAAAGAGACTGACCCCACCTCATGACAGCCTCCTTTCAGGTAGTTGTAGAGGGCGATAAGGTCCACCCTGAGCCTTCTCTTCTCCAGACTAAACCCTCCCAGGTCCCTCAGCTGCTCCTCATCAGACTTCTGCTCCAGACCCTTCACCAGCTCCATTGCCCTTCTCTGGACTCTCAATGTCTCTTTTGTAGTGAGGGGCTCAGAACTGAACACAGGATTCAAGGTGTAGCCTCACCAGTGCCCAGTAGAGCAGGACAATCACACGGTTGGGGGCTGCCACACTGGGGCTGCTACAGGCCAGGATGCCATTGGCCGCCTTGGCTGCCTGGGCACAAGCTGCTTATGTTCAGCAGTCGTCAATCAGCACCCCAGGGTCCTTTCCCATGAGCAGCCTTCCAGCCACTCTTCCCCAGCACTGAAGCGTTGCATGGGGTTGTTGGGGCCCAAGTGCAGGACCCATAGTGAGTACATCAGAGTTGTGGAGTTTTACTGAGTTTCTAATGAAGCAGAGAGGAGGAGCAGTAGCCTTGGGAGCTGTTCCACAGCTAGAACAGACTGATGTCTAGCAGAGAAACCACATGTCTAGCCAAACATAAGTAGTGACAGGTAGAACTTCCTGTTGCTGAATGAGATAATTTGAGTATCAGTGCCAGCTATCCTGTTTTCTTTCTTATTGAAAAGCAAACATGCCTCCACTGGACTTTGTGCCACTGATCACAGCTGTTGGGGCCCCACAGTTCTGTCAGTTTTCAGTGCTATATCACTGCCCATTCGTGTAGCTAGCACCTCATCAGTGTTTCTGTATATTCCTTCCAGGCCACTTGTCCCTTTTCCTACTTCATATATGCTTCCTTTTTTATATATGAGCCTTGACAGAAGTCCTTTATTCATCCTCCTGCCACCTCTGCTTAACTTCCTGCTCATCAGCATGGACTGTGTCTGAGCTTGGAGGAGGTGATTCTGTGAGTTATTAGCTGGCTCTCCTAAACCCACTTTTCTCCAGGGCTGTATTCCAGGAGATTCTTCCAAGCAGGTCTCTGAAGAGGCCAGATGTGGTTCTCTTTATAGTCCACGAGATGCTGTTGTTGTCTTCCTTGTACTCTTAGTATCTTGACTCCTCCATCTCATGGTCACTGTAGCCAAGGCTGCCCCTGACCTTGGCATTCCAGACAAGGTCTTCCTTGTTTGTACGTTTGGAGTCCAGCAGAGTCTCTCCTTGTGTTGGCTTCTTGATCACCTGTGTCATGGAGTTGTCATTAAGAAGACACTTCAGAAACATCCAGGTTACTGCCCCTCCAGCAGTTGGGATGGGCAAGTGCCCTATGAAGACCAGAGCCTGTGAATGTCGGGCTGCTTCTTGTTGTCAGAAGAAAATCACCTTGTAATAGGCGACTTCAGCTTTCAGAATATAACTTTATCAGATGTCACAAATGGGCAGAGAGCTGTCTTTTATAGCATGGCACTTGATTGCTTTCCAGAATGGTTTGTCCTAGAATCCACAAAAGGTTGTTTTCTGTTTAGCTTTAAATAACAGGAAATAGTTCAAGATGTAACTAGCTGAACCATTAAGTAAAAGTGGCTATAATATGATTACACTTGCAGCACGCCTTAGGTCCTTAAGTAAAATCCAAGGATAAACTTTAAATAAAAAACAAAATCACTTGGAAACTTTTATGTCAAAAGTTCAGCCCATAATAAATGATTCGGCTTTGAATCAGATTGCAGGCACTTCCACTTTTTTCCTTTCTTCCCCCTCCATCTAGGGAAGAGAGGGGGTGGGGGGTGGGGAAGAAAGGATAAGAAAGCGTGCTGGAAAAAGATGAAGGAAAATGAGAAAGTGTGGATTCTAGAGAAAATGGAAATCCCTTTTTCACTGTGTAGCAGAGACTAGCGTACAACCCCAAGTATAATGTGCAGGTCTGTGTTACACCTGCTGGGTTTTGTGGTAGCTTTTCTGGTTTTGTGCTCAGATAGGGTAGCACTGCATTACTCTATTACTGTCTAGCCTGCTATTTATTACCGTGACAAGAGGCACATTGTGAACAGGACTCTGAATTTTCCTTTTACTCATTTCCTATTGCTGTACTGGTGCTGAGCAGGCTTACACTTAAATTTGGTGAGACCAGAATTAAGGTCCTGGGAAACAAGATATTTTTTGGCAGACCGATATACCTGTGTTTCAGTGGTACAATTTTTTAGTCCTCACTGCCAACAGTTGCTTTGGAAAAAACAGAATTTACATCTGCGTTTCCAAAAGTAAAGGGTACATCGCAGCTTTTTCCTTTTTCCATCGCTTTCCTAACCCCGTCCCCACTCCAAGCCAAATGATATTGTTCTTGTATCTGAGACTTGTTTAGCTGACAGCTCTGTGTGCTCTCACTTACCAGGATGGTTTTTCCTCCAATCCTGCAGAGCCCTGCTGTCCTGGTGGCAGTGGGTAGTGGTGCCTGCTGGCTTACCTTGTTATCAGTGACAAAAACCCCACTTACCCCAAGTCAGCCCCAGCCTTTGGATGATGCAGTCATCTTCACAGCTTCACTGTGATTCGCTTGAAGCATCAGCTGGGAAGGAATCACCTGCACCACAGGGTGTCCTGCTGTAAAAGATACTGCCTCTGAACTTGAATCTCATGGTGTGGCCCTCACGTTGATTGATGCTTTTGGAGTGCTTCTGAGCAGTGCATTACTGTGGACCTCTCCTTTCTGCACTGTTGCTTTCCTTGCATAAGTTGAGGCAGCCCTTGCATCAAGAGGGTCAGCAAAAAATGCGTTGCAATAAGCTCAATTTCAGAGTAATTACAGGAGGCAGATGAGCTTAAGGATGTAAAGGGCATTGCCTGTGTTATACTTGTGTGTATTTAGTATAATATTGGTAACTTGCCATGGAAGAGGCATGCAGGTCCAATTAAGATAAAGGATATAGGTCTAAGAAAGAAGGACATCCACCCTGTACTTGCCACAGAGATGTGATATTGTTCCTTGTTCCTTAAAATATTAGAGCAGTGGGAACTGATGGTGTTTTTTGAAGCTCTGGCTTTTTTATTATTTTTATATAAATTAAAAAAATAAGCAAAAAACCCCAAACCCAACTCTTTGGAAGTACTCTCACTTTCTTTAAATCACAGTTCTAGGCTTTGTTCATGTATTTCCTGTGTTGTACTTCCAGGCTGATGCTACAAGATCTAGTTTACATTTTGCTGAGTTAAAATGTAAAATGTTGAAGTAAAATGTTAAATTGCGAATGTGTGTCAACTGATCGTTAAGAAAGGAAAACTTGTCTTGTGAAACTGCTTGTTAATACAGACGCTAAAACAAACCTGGAATAATTTGGCTGTTCATTAGCCTGTACCATTGATTCTGAATCATTGAGTCATCGTGCTCAGTGATTTCTGAAACGTGTATGACTTTGGAAATGTGGCTTGTGAAGTAACATAGGGACCAACAACTTCTTTCTAAGCAATGTTTATTTAACCTGTTGTGGTTTAACTGTGCTTATATTGTCCTCAGTATAAATTTTTACTTTAACAGGATCTCCAGACATGGGTGAATGGTGCTAGTGAAAATGGCTTTGTCCTTGTCTCCTTTGGAGCTGGAGTGAAATACCTGTCTGAAGATATAGCAAATAAGTTGGCACATGCTCTGGCAAGACTGCCTCAGAGAGTTATTTGGAGGTAAGTGCACTGGTAGATGTACTTCCGGTTGTGCCATCTTGAGTTGTAGAAGCTGTAAGGGAGACCGTCTGGGTGGCACAAGGAACCTGATGCTTTTGAAAGATACTCTTTGTGGAAATGTTGCAGTCCCTGGTAATAAGGAGGAGCAATGATTTTGTGACAGAATTAAGACTTGGGTTGTGTGTTTGTGCTGAGTTCATATCCTAGAAGGATTGCGGACAATGAAATGAGAGTCTGAGGTTATAACATTTATGACATACTGTCATAATTTCTGATAAAGAAGCCACCCTAGGGAGCAAGAATGACATCTTGCTGATTTAATCCTTAATTTTTTTTCTTCTTTTTCTTCTCTTTTCTCGCTTTTTTGGGACCCTTCTCTTTACCTGTAAACATAGACTTTCGTAATTGTTCTTCTCACTTGTCTTTTTTTGTAAGACATTAGAAGAATAAAAATCTGCAGGAGTATAAAAACCAGTAATAAGCTTTCTCTACTGTAAAAATGTCTTGAGTGGCATACTCAATTTACTGTAAAAATCCAAGAACTGTTTAGTCAGCTCTGCTTCACATGGTGTGTTGCTCTGGAATATAATTCAGAGGAATTAATATGAACCACTGGTTTCCAAATAATAATTAGTGTCTTACAATTTATGGCTGTTGTCCTTGCTGCACTCAGAGTTGGATTTGCAGTTAGTTTAGGAGCCTATCCCCTGCCATCTCTTAGGGACCATTTTCACTGCTGTGTGTAATTGAAATAGTGAATCCCATTAATGAACAGAAAAATGGAAATTCATCATGGCACAGAACCTTTGGTAGTTGTAGTTAAGATCTCATCAGTTTTTGTTTGGGGTAGAGGCAAGGCTATATGTTTGTTTTTAATGAAACCTGCAATGCTGCTTGGCTTGTAATTATTTATTAATCTCAGTTGATCTTACTGTTCAGCTTTTGTTTTACCTTTCTAAATGTTTTCCCTGAAATGTTTCTTCTGTAGGAAGTATCTACTTTTCTGTAATCAGTAAATCAATTTTAATGGATTTTTTCTTGGCGATAGCTAATTAATGCAAAAGCACTTTCATCTGAAGCCCTTCCTCACTAGTATTTCCCTAACTGATGCTTTCTGTAAATTTTTTTTTTTTTTGGTTTGTTCTGGTTTTATCTGCAACCTATTACCTGCTGAATAGCTTTTTGGATAAGGGAACCCACCTGCTGATTCTTTCCATCATGATTTGTGGAATGGGAAGATGTCCGTGTGATAAACTGTATGACATTGTCTTTGGGAGAGCTGAGCAACTGGCTTTCATTCATCACAGTGGGAATTTGAGATCCATAATTAAATCCTAAATATGAAATTGTAAGCCCAACTTTACTTTGGGGTTGTTTTTTTTTTTTTGTTGTTCTTGATGTTCTTCAGAACTATGGCCTGTGTTGAACATGGGTGATTTTTATGCTAGACCTTTCTGAAAATGAGAAAGGTGGTAGTATTGCTTGGCAGTCTTATGTTAGAATGTCAAATCAAGAAAATCTTTGTAGTTCTTTATACACTTCTGATGATGAAACACTAGTTAGAGCCAAACCCAGTAACATAGTTTGGTTTATGTAATTTAGCCTAAATAGCAGGCTTTTTTCAACATACAGATTGTATAAGCCAGTCGTAAAGATCTAGGCTTGCTTAATTGGGAATATGCAGGTGTATCTTTATGAAGCTACAGTTCTAAAGCTCTCTAATAACCAGAATATTTTTAAGTTGTTTAATGGAGCTGTCGCAAAACAGCTCTATCTTCTAGTACTCAGTGGTAATTTTTTCCCTCTTTCCATTTAGAATATATTTAACTTTCTGTATGAATTGTACATAAGATTAATATGTAAGTCAGCTTGTACTTTGAGCCCGTATTTTATGGGCTAAACTTTTCCAGCAACTTCAAGGGAGCAGGATGTTGCCATTGGGTTTCAGGCAGTTGAGCAAGTAAGAAAACCACGCTTCCATAGCTTGATCCCAAACTTTTCATCCCAAACTTGTCTCGTACGCTGAGATATCAGCCTTTCCCTTACTGGTATTAGTAACTCCTTTTAAAATAAGGCTGTGTCAATTATCAGAAGCTACAGGAAACCAGCCAGTTGTGTTGATGGTAGGGATTATTATTTGTGTGTTGATGGGATGTTCTCAGCTAGTACCAGCTACAGTTTTTAGTAAAGCAATGGACTTGAAACCATAGAGAGGTTACAAAACCTCTTGGTGGTTGCCGTAGTGAAAGTTTTACATGCTTTGAGAAGGAACTACATTGTCATTATATTAATAGAAAACATTGCATTTCAAGCCAGAGTGCAAGGAAACTGAAGAATGAAAACGTGAAGTTGGAAGTTATTAGCTATTTACAGCATTTTAGTGAGCCTATTTTGTTTTCTTGTAATAGTGAGTAAAGAGTATTCTTATGTACCTGTAAATCTGCTTAGGGCTCATGGATCATTTGGTTTAATTCTCTGGTTTATTGCTTCTGGAGGTCTTTAACTCAGCTTCCATTTGATTTTATTGTTTTAGGTTTTCAGGAAACAAACCAAGGAATTTAGGCAACAATACGAAGCTTATAGAATGGTTACCACAAAATGACCTCCTTGGTGGGTATCGATTTTGATCATATGTTGCTTATTCTTGCTCATGTTCAGGTTGCTTTTCCAACTATATTCTACTGAATACTGGCTGTATACATACACATTTATTTATTTTTCTCCAAAGAAAGCTCTAACAGAACATTTGCATGTGTTGCAAGCTGGTAATAACCTTTCTGTTTAACTAACCTGAGATAACTCTAGGTTCTCAGGTGCAGAGACAAAATTTTATATTCTTCCATTGTCTGGTAAAAGCTGTGTTAAGAGTCTATGAACTTTATTTTCCTCCCTTCCCTGTCAGAGACTAGTTGAACACTCTGCAGTCTGAGGGGCCAGAGAATATTTATGGCTGTGTCTGGGATACCTGGATGTTTGTGTGTTCACAAACCAGCTGCAGCACTATGATGGGCACTGTTAGGCATGCGTATGCATCAGTGTGGGTGCATGTCAGCTGGAGTATTTATCATCATGTAGTGATTAGGCAAATGACTTTTAGAGCAGGTAGATTTGTTTTGGTTACTGAATTGCTCTGAGGCAGTCTCATTTTTCCATTACATAAGGTTTTATCATTATTCTCAAGTCTTGCTAGCCTGAAGTAAAGCATGTGAAGCTTTAAAGAATGTAACATCAGTTCTCCTGTTATTAAATGGCTTGTATTTCATATGAATAATGAGGAAAAATGCTCTCGCCCCGGTTCATTTGTACTGCTACACTGGTTGTAGTCACTACCTGCAGCTACTCAGGAAGTAAACAATGTATATTAATTACCCCATTGATAATTTTACACAAGTTGTATACATGAGAACTTTCTTTGCATTGGCTGTTCCGTTTCTCTTGGTGTCTAAGGAAATCACCTAATGCATGTGATGTATCAGTGGAGTGGGTTTTAGGGGGAGAACTTCAGAACAAGTTGCATTCTTTTTTTCCTTCCTGATTTGCGGCTATAGAAACATGATGATGAAAGTGTTGTACACAGTTGCTTCAATAACTTTAAGGAGATGTAAATCTTTTCTTTAATCTTCATGCCTCTTTTGCTTTTAGGTCACTCTAACATTAAAGCTTTTCTTAGTCATGGAGGTTTGAACAGCATTTTTGAAACCATGTACCATGGCGTCCCGGTGGTGGGGATTCCACTTTTTGGAGACCATTATGATACTATGACTCGTGTGCAGGCTAAAGGCATGGGAATATTGTTGAACTGGAAGACTGTCACTGAGAATGAATTATATGAAGCCCTAGTAAAAGTTATTAATGATCCCAGGTATGGAATGAGTGCTTGTTTCATGCTTTTGCTATTGCTATGGGCTAAATATGCATGTACAGAACCTTTGTGCAAGGGGAAAAAAATGCATGTTGAGATCTATTTGTGTATACAGTGAGGGCCAGTCTTTGGATGGTTGTGCCACTTCATAATTTTACTTACTTGATCAGGTTTCTATATAGGTGCTAAGCTCATCGCTCAGTGTACCAAAACCCAATTGTCTCATTTGCTTTTCATGCGGTTGCCCTGTTAAGGGCAGAAAGGTTACTGAAACAAACCTGTCCTGCATTAGTCCTTGTTGCAGACCAAAGTTTCTCCATATCTAGCAGTCTGTCTGTTGTGCTGGTTATGGAGCCTGGAGTAAAATAGACTTATATGATTGTAGGGTGGCATGTCTGCATTGTAGCTAAAAAGAGTGACTCTTCCAAAGTCCCATTTAAAAAAAGTATTTCCTGTTCTGGCCAGTAATACCTCTCTTAAGGTCAAGAAGGTCATTTGTTGCAATGACAGTATTCTAACAAATTACTATGACTATGAGGAGTCCAGTCTGTTTTTTGTAAAATTGTTATTCAGGTGGAATAAGTAAAAGCCCATGAGCTGGCTTTCATAACTCCTTCTAATTCCAGCCAACAAATTTGCTCAGGGATATTAAAAGTGTGAAGAGAGTAATTTCAGGTTTGTTCCAAACTGCTCTGTTTCAAGCATCCGTGATGTTCAGACCATCTACAGATTAAAAGTAATGACCTCTTAGCTGGTAGTTTATTGTGTCTGGCTAGCCTTAGATTTGGAGTATGGTGCTGACAATGCCTCTTGCTTTCATGGGAGCAAAGTCTTGGAAGTGGTGCTTGCCTTGGGAACAGAGAAACCTGTATGGAGCAAGCAGCAAAACCGCAGCAAGAGGGAATGTTGCTAAAGATATCTCGATAACATCAGTTGCATCACCTTTCCCTTGTGCAATTACCCTTGGTTTAAAGGCCAGTCCAAGTCCTGCGTAAATAACCTGTCAACCCTGCAGCTGCAGTGAGGGAAGAGTAGGAATTTGATATGATTGGTCAGCCTGTTAAGAAAAAGCAGTTTTAGGCTGAACTGTAGACCCAAGTGGAAGTAGTCTATTGTGCAGTCAAAACCAAGTTTCTTGCTTCATGCTGCATTTCTGTACTAATTCAGTTGCACAATAACATGAGTGGTGTATTAGGCAGGGTATGTTGCCAATTTACAGTGGGAAGGACAAATGTGTCTCACTTGAGAGGATTCATTTTTGGATTAGATAAGATTTCCCTCTGGCAGCAGGTCAGCTTGGCTCATCAGCACTTTGCTGGAGGGTGGATATCTGCCTTTAATCACATACAGGTCTGCTTTTCTAGTCCTTCTTCATTAATGAGCTGCAAGGACTGATTTAAAGACAGTTGATCTGCTGTGTCTAGCCTTTTGTATGCTGGTGGTTGTGAAAGTCCCGCGGTAATGTGCTGTTTGATCTGAAGAGGCTTTAAGTATCTTCAAGTGTTTGCAGGCTTGCATTGCTCGGAGCGCTGGTGATGATTTTTCCTTTCTTCCCTTGTCTGTCTTTTTCTTCCCCACAGCTACCGACAGCGGGCCCAGAGGCTGTCTGAGATTCACAAAGACCAACCTGGTCATCCTGTTAACCGGACTATATACTGGATTAATTACATCCTCCGTCACAACGGAGCCCAACATCTACGTGCCGCTGTTTACAGCATCTCTTTCTATCAGTATTTCTTACTGGATATTGCCTTTGTTGTACTAGTGGGTGCTGCCTTACTTTATTACATTTTGGCCAGGATAACAAAATTTATCTGCAAACAAAGCAAACATCTTTGGTCAAATGGTGAACATAGTGCTGTTAATGGACATTACCAAAATGGGATACCAAATGGCAAGTATAGAAGAAATGGCCACATTAGGCATGAAAAAAAGGTGAAATGAGCCAACTGCCCCATGTAAAGTAGTAATGAATCAGATCAGTAATCGAATTTTATCGCTGTAACTTAGTCTAACAACTACTTAAAACCTCAGTAAGCAGTTCTAACACTCCCCTTCGGTATGTAACTAAGAAAAGGCTTTAAAAAGAACAACAAAGGCAAGCACAACTTAAAATGGAAAATACTTTATTCTTAATACTGATGCAGAGAGGTTATTTTGGCACTGAAGTTTTTAGAAGCCTTAATTCTCTAAAGTTATACAATAATTGTATTTATGAATTTTCAGTTTTTAAAAGCTAAATGTGTGTGTCCCAAATGAGGAGAGGTTTCTTTTTATTTGCAGAGATGTTTTCCTTGTATTTTTTTTTTATTATTCTAAGATATCCATCTTTTAATTGAGAGAACTCTAGTGCTAGTTCTGTGTTTCCTTTGTTGAAGGTTCAACATGTTGTTTAAGAATGCTGTTTAAAAACCTCCTTTTTTCCCAGTCTTTGTGCAAGAAATAGCAAGTTCCGGACTGAAAACACAGACATTAAAGAAAAAACAAACCAAAACCCCAACAAACTTAAGATGAGCACTGAAGAAAAATGGCAAAAATAGGTACTCTTTTTACTCATAAGCTGCATGACTCTTCTGCTCATTACTAGTACTTCGGAGAAAAGGGTCTGGAGTGAGTCTACAATATGTCCTAATTTTTAATTTATACGAAATTTTATTTGTTGCCTTTCTCTGCAAATATAATTTATGCCATGAAAATATTAGGGAGTTTTATTTCAGTTTAAAATATGGCTGTGTGGGAAGTAGATTTGCGTAATTAAGACAAATAAATGAAACAACAACAACAACAAAAAGAAAATCTAGCCCTGTGCTTAATGCAGATGGTTTTCTAATGGCCCAGAGCTGTGCAGACTCAAACCACTACTTGGGGTTTGTTTAAAAAAGCAACAAACATCCCCCCGCTCCAGAGTTGGGTGTCTTTTCCTACTAATTCTCATTATTATTCTTTCTAAATCACAATGTTGTAGATGTTCTCTTTCAATGGTTGTATCTAGAAAAATATTACCTTCTATTAGTCTGGGCCACGCAATCCCTGTTTCACGTAGTTGCCAATCTGCATTCTTTGATGCGGGGCTGCTCTCTGGGTAGGTGACCAGCCTGCCTCCTTGCCTTCCTTCCGAGGGCTGGAGGGATGTGTGGGGTGAAGCCTGGCTGCCCCAGAGGAAGGTTTGCAGAAGTGGTCATCTCCCCCTTCCCCTGCAACAATCTCTTTCAATCATTGTCACCGACACGGGACGCTGGCGGTGGTGTGCCCCAAGGGTGGGGATGCAGGGCACTGGGCATAAAACCATCACTGCCCTGCTGTACCAAAGTTGGCGACTATGAGTTTATTTCCATGTCATTCTGTTTACTTGGAATTTGCACTACACATGTTGTGAGTGTATGCTTTATTTATTTGTAGTTTGAAATCCCATGCCTGAAGGAGAAAGGAAAGAAACCCATTTATCTAGTGTTGTTCACTAACATGGGAAGAGTTGTGATGATTACAGGATGCTGAGATCATCTTCATACACAGTGATGCAGTATTTCACTATCATTCCATCAGGAGCCTCTATCCTATAGCAATAAATAACAGTACAGATATGTTTCTTATATACAGTACAGCTACTTGTACTGCTTTCTGAATACTTGAAGAAAATGGTATTATAAATAAGCCTATTAGCTATACCTTTTTACAATCTTGAAGTCTGTGGCAACTAAAGGAGCACACAGAGGCAATGAGTGGTGGGATGGTAATAAGACTTAGAGTGTATGAATGACTTCGTTTAAATGTTTTTCTTTGGCATTGCAGAAGGTACAAAAGCACTGACCGGATGATTAAGCATAATTTAATCTCCACTGTGATAAAATTTAAGCAATAAACATGGATTTAATAGAGAAATTCTGTTGTTGGAAGTATATTTTTGTTCAAATGAATGCTGTTTATTTTCAGGTACCCAGTGTGTGTGAGTGTGTGTAAATGTGGATACTTACTAAGATACACAGATTCTTTTTTCTCGGTATATACCATGATGCACAATATGTACTTGAAACTAAAATGACTATATTTTGTGAATGGAGATCTGTTTCCCGTATCAATTGAATCAATTGAAAGATGGAATGCTTAACCTGAGTTCTTTCTTATGTCTCTTTAAATTTTGTAAAGTTTATGTGAATGTTCCTGGTAAAGTGTCTTTTATCTCTTATGTGTTAATTTATACCTGTTTCTCTGAAAGCAAAACTTAAAAGACTTTTCACAGTGATATTAGATAGGATGATCGATTTCTGAATAGTCTCTGTAGATATATACATGCTGCAATTCAGTTGCAAAAAGAGGAAGTTGCTGCGTTATTTAATTGTATTACTGAACTTCCAGATGGGTCTGATCCACCAAATCTATAGAAATGCTGGTCGTGTTCAGAGTTACTTTCTTGTAAGTTCAGGTATGATCTGATAATGTAGTTATTTTTCATTTTAGCCCCCTGCAGTAATAAAGGAACCTGTATTAGATGAAGTGGGTGGATAACGGTATGTGGGGGGAACATTTCCACAAACCATGTCTGACAGGAGGAGAGTAAAACTGGTGCAGAATTAGTCACTTCTTAGCTGTTTCTGGGCAGCTGTGCAGAACTCCCTGGGCAGCACAGCCCAGCTGTGGAACCTGCAGCCCTCACATAGCATTCTGAATGGGCTTCTCCACTCTCCCAGCTATAAAAGGAAAGGTAATGGGAGTAACTGTGATCAAACACTCTCTGGGCAAAATTAGCAGATAGGAAATAGCCACAGCAGTAAGTATAAAAGGTAAGTGCCTCTTGCATAAAGATTTTCAGGGAGTTGAGACAGTTGGGCACTTCCCGTAGGTTTTGGTGTTCTGATTTCCTTTGAATAGCTCAATGATTCAAGAAGAAAGCAGTTTAATTATCACCTACAGAAATAAGTTCTGGAAATGGTTATTAAGAGTTCAAAGTTTAAGGAAATCAGCAAATGTGCTAGCAGGTTTTTTTAATTCCCCAGATCACTTGCAAAATCAGTTTTTTAATACTATTCTATGTTAATCTTTTTGATGTTCTTGAAAGATACCACTTTTCATCAAGCTGATTATGTTTTGATTTTGTTCTATGGCGTGGCAACTATGTGGTATTTGCTGCAGTTCTGTATACCTGTAGAGAAGCGACACAAAAGAGTGTATGCATGCATACATTTACTAAAATTTTAGCCCTGATTTGTGTGGGTACCTGTAAGTGGGTTTACTTGTGAAATCTCATACATGGCCACATCTGTATTGATAACAAACGTCAGAAGGCATTTGATTCCGTCTGAAGCTCAGCCATTCTTTCAGGTTCAGCTATGTAAGTATGAGAGAAGAATCTCTGAAGTCATGCTGCTGCTCTTTATATTGAAAGTGTGGATATTACTAAATGTTTAGGTGTATACAGAACAAAGGTGAAATTTACCCTATGCAGTTTAGTTTTTAACAGCAGTGTAGGGTTGGTTTTTTTTTTTTTTTTTAACAGTTCACAAGTAGGATAAGGATTAGGATGATCTTGAGGGGGAAGGAAGGGAAGGAAGAATTTTCCTCAGAGAAATCTGTGGAAGCCTTCTGTGAATTGTTTTATTACAGAGCTCTGAAGAAAACCAAGTAGTTTGTTTGTTTGTTTGTTTTTATTTCAGTTCAGTAGCACTGGTGGGAGAGAGTGAGCCATATTCAGGAAGACAATAACTCCTTCCATTCATTTGGATAATTATGGCATTTTACTCAGGAAATGCAGAAAAAAAATCACAAACCAACAAAACTAACCCCCCTAATGCCCTCCCCCGGGTATATTTCAGTACGTATTCCAAATTTGCACTGTGGATAACAATAGGGAAATTTCCCTCTTTGCCATAGCAAGCAACTCAAGACAAAGAATCTGGCAGTGATTGGTGTTGGCCAGCATTGAAATCAGCCAGATTGCGGAAGGAATGTTAAAAAGCCATATTCAAAAATACACGTGTAACTTCAGACTGCATATCGAGTCATGCTACCGTCTGAGGTTTAACTCACCTGCTTGTTCAATACTGTTTATTATGCATTGAACAGAGAAGATGGTCTTAAACTGAATTAATCTGCCAAGACAGCCTTCTGCCATTGTTTAGTAAATACTGCAGACCGGTTGAGGCTTATTTACCCTAATGAAAAGTATACCTTTCAGTAATTTTTCCAAGGGTGTGGGGATGTTTGCTTTTTTAAACAAAATACAAGGAATGCAAAATTGTATTTCATTAGAAAATAAAAATCTGAGCATGTCGGTCTTCTCAGTTACTCTGTAGTGAAACAGAATTGGTTAGAAAAGATTGTATTTTACATATGTTGAGGGGATGTAGGCTTGAAAAATAGATAGGGATATCTCAAAGTATTTGCTGGAAGTTACTCTTGTCTTCACGTGTTCCTTGTGGCTAAGAGGATACATTAGGTTTATATTATTTAGGTATTTGATTTGTAGAACTTGTTAAGAACTCGCCAACAAAGTTTAATTGACAAGCAGGTATTCTTTATTGCAGTGCCAGGAGACACAGGGGATATCTCCTAATGTGTGTCCCGTTTAAGCATCAAACAGACTGTGATTATATTGTTGCTTAACATACATATTCATTACATTTCTGATAGATGTCATACATACGCATTAGTTGTCCGAGAATCGTTTTACATAATTCCACGCCTATTTTTGCATGTGCATAACAATGTGGTAGTGGTCTTTGGTGGTCGTTTTACTTCTTCCAACAATCTTCGTCACTTGGCCATTCCTTGAATTCTTGTTCCGGAAGTCTTTGAAGCATGCGCAGTACATAAATGCTTACACCAGCTTAATTAGTTTGGTAACACCACTGACATAAGTGAGTGATTTCTCCTCATCCTACTTATCAGTTAACTTCGCTACGGCACCTCCTGAACATCTGCTGGTTTCAGATACTCCTTAGTTACAGTCCTGTTTTGGTTACAATAAATTATGTCTGAAGGTCGTAAGGTTCTAAAACTGTCAGCCACAACAATTTATCGTATACAAGGATCCTTTTTATGTTCTTTTGGTTGGGCTTTTTAGGTTTGGAAAGTTTTGTTGTTATGTACGAAGCCACCAAGCTTCAAGTTACTTAAAACTGAATTTTCTTATTTACAAATGATTATATTTCAATTTGTACTTCCTTGTCTCGTATTACATAGCAGTTAGGAAAATGAAGAGACAAGGAGTACCAAAATTTCCTTGGGATGTCATTCTGAGTTCAGGAATTGCTCTGTTAGAGGAACTGTGTTGTACACTTCAGCATGAATTGGAGAGATATGAATTGAAGGATCTCTTGATTAAAGTGTGTTAAACTGGTGTTTGAACCACAAACAGCAGTCTTCAATGAGATTAGAAGTGCCGTCACAGAAGTACCAGTCTATGAAAATACAGACAAAAACATCAATTTACAAACAGAGCATAATTGTGCTTCATGGGGCATTAGTTGGCTTTTTAATGCTGGTATGATTAT